GAGCTGCCTATAGACCCTTCCACGTAAACCCCCAATCTAGGCTAAAAGTACTAAGTCAAGGAAGGAGAATTCTTAAGGCCAAAACCAAAATGTCTCCAAAAAGTCTTTGAGTAGACTTAATGATTTGCTACTCAGTAACAGATTGCATCTCCCTTTCCTTCTTTGTGCCTTCTCCATATTGCCATTTTTTTTAAAGATTTATTTATTTATTTATTTATTTATTTATTTATTTATTTATTTATTTTAGACATAGAGAGAGAGAGAGAGAGAGAGAGAGAGAGGCAGAGACACAGGAGGAGGGAGAAGCAGGCTCCATGCCGGGAGCCCGATGCGGGACTCGATCCCGGGACTCCAGGATCCCACCCTGGGCCAAAGGCAGGCGCTAAACCGCTGAGCCACCCAGGGATCCCCCATATGGCCATTTTAGAGCAAGTTAGAGTAATCCTGTCAGAGCTGGAAGGGGCCACTGGGATCATCTGCTGCAAAGGCCTTACTTTAGCATGAAGAAACTGAAGCCCAAGGAAAGCTACAGAGAGCTCACCAAGCGCACGCCATCACCTGGAAGCTGAGTCTGACCTCGAACCCCAGAGATCCCCTGGCAAAGGTTCGTTTCATTTCACTGAGTCCTTCAAATGTACGATGATCAATTTTTGTGTGTGGTGAGAACATTTAACATCTGCTCTCTTATGTGAGCTGATGGGTATGTTAACCAACCTTATTTTGGTAATCATTTTGCAATATATATGTATATCAAATCATCACGTTGTATACCTTAAATTTACATTATGTTATATGTCAATTACATCTCAATAAAAAAATACCAATGAAAAAATACAATGATAAAGTGTTTCATGGCACTTAAAGGACTCAACGTATGCCCCACGACGTAAGAAAATCTACCTAATGGCCGCTTGAAAATTATGATTTCATTTCTCATTCCAACTACGTACAGAGCATAGCTGTATTAGAGAATCTTCAGAGGGTTTGCTGTTCATTTACATAAATTGTCACTTTCATTTTCTGTTTCTTGAAACTGAGAAACTTCAGATAAATGTAGATTTTGTCTTCCTACCCTAAACTCTCTAAGCCATCATTTTGAAATCAAATTACACAGCTTATGCTTAAAACATAAGGGCCAGATTCTATCTTCAAATACACCACCCACTCTCGAACAGCAGAATTTGGCCCCAAAAACCCATTAACAAATATTGTCATTAAACTAAAGAGCTAATTACTTTGGATTCAGACAGAATGAACAAAATCATAGGCCAACCGCAGCTGGTAGTAATAATGGTGAGACTAACCGTATGTTACACTGGAGATTTAAAGAACAAAGATGTATTAACACTAATGTAACCAAACATATAAAATTATCCTCCAAATGGAGCAAACGATTATAGTTAGAAAATTCTTGAAAGCACGTTGGAATTATCTGATACAAGAAGTAAAGGATATTTCTAAGGAAGTAATTGTCATAATTTGAAATTATCAGTGTTTAATGGAGAGGAAACTTGAAAATTTTTTGTGTATTGCAATATCTACTAACAAAGAGTCATATCTAAAAATCATTTTGATCTAACTGGAAATACTGTTCTTATATCTAAATCAGTTTAATACTGTAAGATGCGGGCAGCCCGGGTGGCTCAGTGGTTTAGCGCCGCCTTCAGCCGGGGGTCCCGGGGTCCCGGGGTCGAGTCCCACATTGGGCTCCCTGCATGGAGCCTGCTTCTCCCTCTGCCTGTGTGTCTGCCTCTCTTTTTGCATCTCTCTGTGTTTCTCATGGATAAATAAATAAAATCCTTAGAAAAAAATACTACAAGATGCAAGAGTTTCACTTTAAGGTTATTTTAAACAAATATTATCAGGACTACCCTATAGTTCTATAAAAGTAAGTTTCCCAGAAAACTGAGTGTTTCCCCAGCCCTTAAAGAATATTTTCAAATTACATTAATAATACATATTTTAGAAAAAAGTTTTACATACCCCAAGAAGCAATACAAATCAACCATAATTTATCAGTGGAACATGACCATTAATTGTATTTTGATGCGTATCATTTCAACTTTCTCCCTACTCATCTGTTGTCTTTTTAATAAAAATAGGACCACATCCTAATATGCTCCGTAACTTTTCTTTTCTTTCCTTTTTTTTTTTTTTAAGATTTCATTTATTTATTCATGAGAGATACACAGAGAGAGGCAGAGACACAGGCAGAGGGAGAAGCAGGCTCCATGCAGGGAGCCCGACGTGGGACTCGATCCCGGGTCTCCAGGATCATGCCCTGGGCGGAAGGCAGGCGCTCAACCGCTGAGCCACCCAGGGATCCCACTTGTTGTTTTCATGTTCAGTGTATAATGGGCATTTCACCCACATCAATAATTATACTTTTACTACATACATTTTAGTGACTTTCCACCTTCTTAAATTAAGAATAATAAACACATTTTCATCTTTTTGGGTATCTCACAAATATCATTATTATACGGTTTCATAAGAACACTCCCACTCTCCAGAGACTCTTACATAGTTAAATCTCCTTTCTCCTGTACTAAATGATCCCAGATGGCTCTACTGTTCTAAAGCTGTATCTGACCTTTAGCTCTTTTTTCTCCTTCAAGATCAGATTTCCATATAAAGCTGACCAAACCTGAAGTAGACCTAAATTGGCTGTTTTCATTTTTAGATTAATGACATGAAAGATTATTTACTGATAACTAAAATAAGTAATGGTTTTAATTTCGATTACATTCATAAGTGCTCAGGTATTCTCTTCACTTCCTCAACTTTCATCTTGGATGAAAATTTCCTCCTACACTTCCTCACCCAAGAAATCATTATTGAAAAACATCTGCTTAGTTTCTCTTTTCAAAAAGTCACACCTCGCCAGACTGATGTTGACTGCCCTTTGTATTAGCCATTTATACAGCAAGTTTGGAAGAGAAAAAAATGCTATTATATATGAAGGGACCAGACTAGAAGATCTTAATGGTCCATCTTCTGCTCTAAAACTTCATTCTTCTGTGCTTTAATAAAGTTTATGTAATTTATTCTTTTGTTGTGTATTTTGCTTCCTGAGTGTGGAGGCTATCTCACTCAGGTTCCCTGAAACTACACGGTAAGTTTTCTTTAGGGAGTCACAACTTAAGACAAATATGCCAGTGATAATGAACGTGACCCACTTGAGGACACTATTTCATTTTCTCTCCACCTGCTCCTCTGCAGAGGAAATAGGAAAAGAAAAATAAGAAAAAGCAGAGGAGTAGTTTCTATGTTTCTCTGAAATAAAAATGTTACAGAAGATTTGCACCAAAAGCTATATTAAGTCTTCCTTGAGAATGTCTTTGAACCATAAACTTGTATAGTATCTATTTGAGGATTTTATCATTTGGGTACTACAAATTTTAGGATTTTATCATCAGCTGTGGCAGTGAGAGCATTGCCTATTGAGAATAATACTGACAACAAATGCATGTGAAAATTCATTATTATAGTTAATCTAATTCTGTAAATCTTTAGATTACTTGAAAAAAGTGCTATCTTCTTTCATGCATATCTATATTCATTTTCTCTGTGTAATACGAATAACTAATATGTGTAGCTAATTGCCGCCACGGGGATATACTCTTTTTTCCTTTTGATTAAGGGTTTATTTTTGCCATTTGATATTTTATTGACAAGAAACTCCTTAGAATATGAACATGTGCACACAAAGGCTGACAGAGAAAAAACATCTATAAGCCTGAAATTCAAAGGCTTTTAATTAAGAACTTCGCTCTTCACCATGAAATAGTATCATGTTATACCTTTAAAGAACCATCACAATTTCAGTGTGACTATGCCTCTACTAATCACTTTCATCCCTGGAGCAAAAAAAGCAAACTTTTCATAAACTTAAAATTGCACATAATAAAGATGAAATTGCTAAATGAGATAAAGAAATAAAAGGATATTCAATAAATGTACGTGCAACCTGTTATAAAGATATCACATGATTTAGAAGTTTTTATCCGCAAAGGACAATGAGTAGCTAATGAGGTGTTAAGCAGATCTGTTCTTTTGAAAACCTAACCCTGAGTTTTCCAAATGAAGAGATAAAAAAAAAAAAAAAAAAAAAAACAAAAACCTTCAAAAATGAAGAAATGCTTAGCTGACCCTGGGAATAACTCTATTTCTATCTTCTTAGATAGTTCTTAGAATTCATTCAATAAGCATAAACATCTGAATAAATTAAAACATTACAGAGAAAAGAGAACCAGCTAAAGACAGCGATGAGTGCATGTTCACTCTGAAAGCAAGACAGGGACCCCTGGATTTAGTCCATCATACTGAACTTGAAAAAGGAGTATCGAAGAGAACTAACAATTCAACGGGGGGGGGGGGGGGTCAAAAAAGGAGCACTAATTTAGCACCTCGCCGCTAAACGTGCCTCCTTATTTATTCTTGTAGCTGAAGGAAACAAACAACATAAAATCCCATTTAATATAAAGTTTGAAAATTAGAAGTGTATTGTTTTGAATGCCAGCTTCAGCGTTTCTCAAAGGCCCAAGACCCACCTCCATCAGGAGCATCTGGGGGTGAGGAAATAAAAACGCAGATTGCTGGGTCACATCCGAGATGCAGGGATTCTAACCCTCTGTGAAATGTGCCCAGGAATTAGAGAATTTTACAGACCCTTTCCTCCTCCATGTGACTCTCACGCACATTATAATTTGAGAACCGCTGTGATGGTCACGATTTTCGTGTGTGTGCGTGAAACTGATCCTCAGTTATCAAGAGTACCACCGCACCTTGCTCGTACTTACACCGACGTGACGTACAACAACTTTTCCAGTTTGCATTTTATTTTTCCCTTTTGGCTGTAGAACTGTACATAGACGGCCGTGTTCCTCATCTTCAGCAACTGCTTCTACTTAGGCACATATTGCTAAATATATTAAATATTCACTTTAGATGTAAGCTAGGGTACACAGCAATGTGTGTTACCTCCCAAACTCACTTACCTTCAAATCCTCAGGCTTCTTCAGAAAGTTCTGAGCCTCTATGATGGAAGTTTTCAAGAAGAATATATGCAGGGGCTTCTCTAATATCCCCGTATCTCAAGTCTGGCCAAGGAGACTCCTGAAGCGGACATCAGAAACACCATCGAGAAGGGAAGACACCACTGCTGGAGCCTCTGGGTACCTGATTATCTCTGAACAGAACAGAAAAACAAGTAGTCGGTCACCTGAAATTCACAGAGAATCTGCTACGGAGAAGGTTATTTTCAGTAAACTGGCAGTGTTACTAAATTTAAACTTGGCCTGGGTTTGCTGCTCTCTGATTTAGCACAGTTGTCATTTAAAATTTCATGTCATTGTGAAGGCAGGATTGCATGATGCTGCTGCCTGCGGAGGATTCTGGTTGAATTCATATGGCTTTAATTGACTATTTCTTCTAAACATTGCATCAAGTGGTATTACTAATTTTATTTTTGATATGCAGATGCTAGATTTTGGTGCTGAATTTCTTTCTAAGTCAAGGTTGATTAGCTCTCTTGGAAATACATCCCTCCACGAGCCTCTATCACACCCCATAAAAGACAAAATGTGATACTTTTACAAAATCCCAGGGGAATCATCTGGTACGTTTGCTATATTTTCTTTCACTTGGGTAATGCTTGCCAGGATAATTAGACATAAACAAAAATAATATCCTTTCTCGTCAATATGTGTTGCCTCCTCGGGGAAACCAAAATTCTAGCACTTTGCTGAATGAGTTAAGCAGACATTGCTAGTGGCTCATGGAAAAAAGAGACTGAAACATCTATTTTTAAAACTGGTAATTGACAAATGCAAATATTCTCCTCAAGGGTAGAAAAAGCAACATATACAGATTAATACAACACCAAATACAAAGTGACAAGAGCGTAATATAGACGTCAGCACAGAGTGCACTGGAAAACAATAGTTTTTCATGGAAGACTTTAAGGACTGAGCACCCAAAACCCATTCCCAACTCTCTCCCTCTTGCTAAGTCTCACAAATGCAGAACAGAAAATCAAACCGAATAAAGTGTTCACTTTCCCAGTCCCCCTGCTGCTAAGAATGCTTGCATGATTCCATTCTGGCCCGTGAGCTATGAGAAGTGTGCCGGGCAAAAAATGAAGGCAAACACGGGCTTCATTGAGGAGACGGTTCCTGTCCCCCTTCTCTATTCCACACAACTGCTTGCCCTGCACCAGGATGTGGTATTTGCAAGGAGAGCAGTTCATTTTGTCACCGTAATGTAAAGCACAATGATGTTCTAGAGAAACACAAAGATACAGGTCGTCTGTTGAAGAGCAGCTGACTCAACACTACTTGGCTGCTGCTTCTGGAATTCTGCTTGTCTGAACTACCGGGTTTTCTGCTGCTTGCTAACAGAGTCATTGCAGGTTGACAGAGCGTTGAAAACAACATTTGTTAAAAAGTAAGTGCCACTGCTATAACCGTAGTGCTAGCTGCCTTTCTACGTTATTAGCTGCAAGTTCTCACTCCGTGGAGTCCGGGACAGCCGTCATGATGACAGGGGCTGGGACTTGCCTCCCTTTTCACTTGAGGAAAGCGGTACACGTGGGGAATATTGGATCACAGGGTAACGGTAATCCATTAGAATAAGATGAAATGGAAAGTCTCCTCTAGAGCCAGGTTTGGAAGAAGAGGGCCCAGTATCACGGTTAAAAAAAAAAGAATCCCGTCTTGGCTTCAGGGCCAAAGCTATCACATCAGCTGAACTCTCGGTGGAAGAGTCTGAAATTCGATTTGTAAAATTCATTCGACGTGGGACTCGATCCCGGGACCCCGAGGTCACGCCCTGAGCCCAAGGCAGACGCTCAACGGCTGAGCCACTCAGGGGCCCTTCATCAACATTTCTTAATCATAGTCTGAGCTTTCACTATCTCTTTCCTAAACTATTGCCATAGACCCTTTAACAGATTCTTTTTCTTTTTTTCTTAAACATTCCGCTATGTCCTACAGGTGCTTTAAGATTTAGCTTCTTAAAACATTTCCTTAGATCCCTTTTCTGTACAAAATACAAGAGCTCCTTTTGGTCAACGGGATTAAGCCCAAGGTCCTTAACATTTAGAACTACTGGCAAGCACCCTGGGATCATGGGAGAACTTGCTGAACTTAAGTCAACACCAAGGAAAGAGGTGAGAAATAGAAAAAGAGGAGCTGGGCCTGACAGGTTGTTGTGTCATCCCTGGGCAGAGTTTTGCTTGTAGGTGGACTATCCTGAACATATCAGTTGTGTGTGCATTTATAAACTTATTGTTATTATTATTATTATTTTTTATTTATGATAGTCACAGAGAGAGAGAGAGAGGCAGAGACATAAGCAGGCTCCATGCACCAGGAGCCCGACGTGGGATTCGATCCCGGGTCTCCAGGATAGCGCCCTGGGCCAAAGGCAGGCACCAAACTGCTGCGCCACCCAGGGACCCCCTATTATTATTATTATTATTATTATTATTATTATTATGCCAATCTGGTCGGTATCCTCTGTAACCTGCAACCAAAAAGACCTTTCCGATGTATTTACGTGTTTGTGTGTCTGCCGTTTCATTCATTTCTACTTCTCTCTTCTTTAAAAAGATCAAGCCCTCTTCCTCCATGATACATTCCCAGATTCTTCTAATTCATAGTGAGAGAATCCTAATTTAAAATTTAAACCACTTTACAAAAAAACAAAAAAAAAACTTTACTTTTCATTGTATATACTAATAATATACATTATTGTAGAACAATTATATAATGATGTAATAATAAGCTATCATTTCATCATGACTTCCAAATTTTTAGTTTAACAATTTCTTATCTCCAGGCTTTTATTTCTAACTGAATACATCCCGTCTCCACTTGGATGTCTTAAAGGCTCTACAACCTGAATCTGTCCATAACCAAACTCATAAACACCTTCCTCTTAAGTACAGTTTTCCTCTAGCTTCCTTTTTTTTAAAAAAACAGCACCATCAACATTAGTTGGAGAAGACAAAAAAACAAGATCGTCGACATTTTAAAAAGGAATCAGCCTAGATTTGATCTTTTCTCCTTCAGCCCCAGTATCTGATCACCAAGCCCTTTTGATTTTATTTCCTAAATAATTGTAAAGCCTCTCTACTTTGTCTACCTTCTTTCTATATCCTCTCTGTAATCCCTCTCCTGCTCCAGTACCATCACCACCACCTTGTCTGTTGCCTGGAATGCTGCTTATTAGATGTTTTTCTGTCTCCTATCCCACATTTTGTTTCCCTCCAATATTTTCTCTTCGTGGCATTTTGAATGATCCTTTGAAAATACACAGTGGATCACATCAATCCCTTCTTTAAAAACCTTCAATGGCAGGATCCCTGGGTGGTGCAGCGGTTTGGCGCCTGCCTTTGGCCCAGGGCGCGATCCTGGAGACCCGGGATCGAGTCCCACGTCGGGCTCCCGGTGCATGGAGCCTGCTTCTCCCTCTGCCTGTGTCTCTGCCTCTCTCTCTCTGTGACTATCATAAATAAATAAATTAAAAAAAAAAAAACTTAAAATAAATAAATAAATAAACCTTCAATGGCTTCCCACTGTTTTTAGGGAAAAGAACAAGGCCTCATATCACACAACCCTGCCTGAAGCTCCAACCTCATCTCCCCAGGAGGCAGTGACCATTTCTGTTTTTAAATAGCCTCATGTTGGGGATCCCTGGGTGGCTCAGTGGTTTAGCATCTACCTTCGGCCCAGGGCGTGATCCTGGAGACCCGGGATCGAGTCCCACATCGGGGTCCCCGCAGGGAGCCTGCTTCTCCCTCTGCCTGTGTCTCTGCCTCTCTCTCTCTGAGTCTCTCATGAATAAATAAATAAAATCTTAAAAAAAATAGCCTTATGTTTTAAAAACCCAACATTCAGCAGAGTGTTTAGCACCTACTAGGTACCCAATAAGTATTTGTTGAATGAACAGCTGCCTCACAAATACCTCCTGAACCATGAGCCACACTGTTAATTTTTCTTATATATTTTTATTTTCTGTGTTACTTATAAGTACATTGACAGTAAAGAAGTGTCATATTTCTCTGTAACCTATAGCAGAATGCTATGTGAGTAAGAGGGGTTCAGCAGGTATTCAATTATTTTGCTGTTGATATTTCTACTCTGATTTCCTTTTTAAAAGGTTGAAGTTCATTCTCTCTCATGCAATGGATAGTTATCACCTGTCTAGAAGGTTAAAAATGAATAAGGGGAAATTTATTAAGTGCAAACAATGGCAGTAAAAAAAATAGGAAACTTGTTCCTGATCACAATTCTAAGGCATTTTCACAGATTAATTAAAAAGGAGCTGATCTTCTGCATCTCATGGAAAAGCATCACGTCAGCCCTGAGTTATGTGGACAAACACTCAAACATCATGTTTGTAATTTTCGCTGTCATTTTTTCCGGATATTTCATATTTTTCTTTAGAAATATTTACCTTTGAAAAATGTAAGCAAAACTCCAATACTTTAAAATAACTAACAGCTGAAGTCTTTTTGGGTAGAGACTGATTTTGGAAAATAGTTACCCCAAGGATACATTAATTGTTAGTTATTGGATATTTACCCGAAAGGACAAAAAGAATTTCTGAGATTCAAAGGTAGGTATGAAATTTTAGCCTATGCCATAAACTGATATTATCTAAAATAAGAGAAATATGTCTGAGGGGAGCCTGCAGCGAGAACACACATGAGCAACCCGAAAGCAACGAAACAGGAGGACACAGGGATCCATGCACGTCAAAGGCTTTGGACTATTAGCTGTGGCCAGATAATGTTGTCCAGGTTGGGGAATGGTAAACAGAATTAGGATTGAGAGGATCTAGAAGGAGGAAAGGCCAAGAAATGCAAAAGTAGACAATGCAAATGCTCTGCCTGAAAAAACTCTCGAGTAGGCTTAACCTTCTGTCTCTGAAAAATTAGTTGAAGTTTGCCCAAGGGATATTTATACACGAGATAATTGCCTTTGGGTTTCTATAGGCCTGTTGTTCAGTTATAAATATCTTCTAGTTTTCTCAGGGTATTGAATCTGTTACGGAGTTTGTAAAAATTAAAAAAAAAAACGGCAAGAAATTTTTTTTTAAAAAATGGAAAGTTTGTTCAGGAAACGCATTTTGCGAATGACTACAAATAGTTGTCCTAAAAATAAGGGAGCAGGGTATTGTACA